ATACTGTACCTTTCCTGCACTTTTTATCAGGTGCAAAAGAAAAATCCAGTGAGTAATGGCCTCCATGTATAATGCACATAATGGTCTTTGGTAGTACATGTGCATTGGGGAGATACAAATTCAATATTGCTTTTTAAGTCCAAATCAGCCTAATATCTGTACATGTATGTACTTAGCCATACGCAATACTACCATCTTGCCTACATGTAAGCAGGTACAAGTGGAGGGGACAATTACATGTACATGTACTTTGTTGAGTACATGTATGTCAAGATCAAGTTTTAGGGATAAAACCTTGTGTCTGTAACATTTTTGGCACTTCGGGGGTCGGGTTGGCGAAGTAGTTCTTTCCTCGCCTTTCACCTCTATGGTCCAGGTTCTATTCCCAGCTCAGTCCACATGTGGATTGGGTTTTCAGACCCTACCTGTTTCCGTGGGTTTCCCCAGCAATTTCTTCTCTGGGGTTTTCCTCCCACCTCTAAAATTGTCTCTGCTTCTTATTGTCTCCTCTCTATAGATGTACAGTAGGTGGAAGCGGGTCATTTAGCGGCCGCCTGAGGTGCCCTTGTAAGCCATTCGCTCAACCACATTTAATGTCTTCACTGTACAGTGCATTTCAACATATCTGTATGAAATTTGTGTTTTCTAAATGAATAAACGGCCCTCACAACATTATAAGTTTCAATGTGCATTGTCCTCACAACAGAACTACAGGACAAGTACTGTGTGAAAAAAAAATTCAGAGACTTTCCTTAGGTGGGATTCGAACCTTTAACCACCTGCTTATTATTACTCGAGGGCAAACGTCTTGTCTCCCTGAGACTTACTGGTACGGAGAGTCTGTTATAAGATCATGGCATGGAGCCAGTACAAAACCTCAAGTCGACCTGAGATAAATCCTGACCAAGAATTACAACAGTGCCAATGAGCAGGCTTCCTCATCCTTGGCTTGTCTTTGGCTTAGGACGAGGCATACACCCAAACACATCTTCCATGTCCCATGGAGTCACATTGAGGTGACCAAGCGTGGATTCGTCTCGAGAATTTCTACCACCTCCATTGGGCTCCATGGGAAATGTGATGTGTTTGGTGCACCGTCAATTAACTCTTTTCGTAGGCAGGTGTCCTGTGCTCTGTCACAAATCAGTTCTTAATTTATCGGTTTATTTTGCAAGTTGTTTAAGTTAATATCACCGTCATCTGCCCACAATTAAATATTATTGAACGTTTCTTCAAAATCTCTCACTCCAATATCACGGATCTGAATGTGACATGTAGATCTATACCAGTTCCAACTTCAATTCTATCGTGAACGACACATCAAAAGTTACTTCAGTACTCAGTACTTCAGTATTCTAATCCATTCACACAGCGCATGTTGACAACTTTTCGTTTCAATTTGAACTGAAGATGGCGACCAGTCAACAGGTCCTGTACATTGCTCTCCTGTTTTTGGTCTTTCACGCTGTTTCCTCCTTCCAAGTTTACCAGTTGATAGAGTTTCTTCTGATGATGATTTTGATCACTTTCTTCATGGCCTACCTAATGGGAATGAGCTGTCATTTGAATGTTCTTATTGTTTGTTTCTTGTTTGTGTGTCCTCCGTCCCCCTAGTACATGTACGTGTTTGTTTACCCGCATGTTCAGGTGTCTGTTTATTTTGTGTTGTATATGATGTTTGTTAATATGTTTGTCAGCGGTTTATTGTTTGTCTTTGTTTCAATAGTCACGATGTTAATAGATTTATTTATGTGTATTCTCTATTTATTTAGACATGCACATACATATCCCTTTTTTATTATCAAGAGTTTTTGTTTAGCAATTACATATGTCACAATTTAAATTGCATTTTTTTTTATTTGAGCTTATTTATTTCCATTCCTGTAATTGGCGGTATTTCTGCTGTTAGATGTGGCTAATAAACAAACAAATAAATTAAGGACAAGTCATGAGGATGTAGTGTGGACTGCGTGAACTCCCTTGCAATTATAAGAGCCAACAGCAGCTGTGGACCCTTTGCTTAGATGGATGGCTCATGCAAACTGGCCCAAGCATGTACACCGTAAGTCTATCCTCAAATGTGGCCGATCATGTGCCTCTGAGTCAGGGCCCAGATCTTATCGACGGACCCATAGACAAACAGGACTTTTAATTCTCACCACTTGTAACTACCTATACGTACTTTAATCTACATGTAGGCAATGGACCAATATCGTGGTCAAAAGTTAGAACAACGGAAAACCACTCCCTCCCACTGATCGCCAACTGATTTGTGCACAGGGCCCCAATTTACAGTATAGTGAGTCTACCATTTCCCAATATTCAAATAAGAAGAATGGCATACAACAACACACCACCACCTGCAGTTCATTTCTTCCCGCTCTTCTACAACTTTAGAAGGTAAATGTTGGTGAGTCCCCAGATTTATAAGTGGCTGCAGGTCTCTTAATCTGAACTGAAATTTTTCAGCAACAGCAAACAAGAACTTTCTATGGATTGGCCACAGTACATTGACTGCATTTGACACATGCACATCTTCCTTTTTGCTTGTTTCTGAGCAACAGGATGCAACTTCCCGTCATCCATTCTCTCTCCCCCTCCTCCTTCCTTACCCCTCCCTCTGGCCTCCCTAGAATAAAGACTTGTTCCAATCCATCCCCACCTGGTTGTCAACTCAACCTGTCAAGATACCTGGTTACCAAACAACTGGCAGCTAGCTTTCCTCCCTCCCCCCCCATTCTTAAAAGGGAAGTTGTGAAATGATAAATGAACCTCACTGCTTATCAGAAAAGTTAATCTGTTTACATCTGACACTTTGTGAGAGGAAGTAAGGTTGTCATAACAAAGCAGGAGAGCATCTCAGAACCCATGCCTCTCCCCCCTGCGTTCATCATCACTAGATTTAGAGAACAACACTGCCAACTGTTTTTGTACAAATATTTCCAAACACAGAGTGGGATGGCCACTCAATTAAGGTGCGAATTTCACAAGATAAGACAGACCATCTACTCCCACTTGTCAAACAAGAAGGGATATGACCACGGCAAGCAAGATTGTACATGCAGCATGAGGAAACCACAATCGCTGACGTCCTGAAATCTGATTCCTGATCTGTTTCATGCCAAGTCTGGACCAGCATTTCCAGGTAACTCATTCAGCACACAGCGTTATTTCCAATGAATGCTTTCTCCACGAACATGCCAGGTTTATCTTTTGTCACCATCACTCTTGACAATGTAATGTGCATGTTTGTGGCATTGGTTGACAATGATGGGTACCCGTACCTTTAATATGAAAATGAGTTTACTTGTGACAACTATCTAAATCTAAAATCATAACGCATAATATTTGTACTGCTTTGTTGACAAGTTTGATTTCACGTATGCTGCAGCTGTGAACAAATGACAGAGAATTTTATGACAAAATGAGTACAATTTCTTTCCATTTAAATGTGATAAAATTCATGAAAATTCTTTTTTTTTAAAGAATTTAAAAACTTATTTAAAACAATATCCACATTAGGAGTTATGAGCTGATAAATGTTAGAATTTGACATTGCTTGAACATAGATACAACAATCTTGGAAGTTACATGTATATTCTTAAAATTTTGACATTTTCACCCGTGAGAGATTTGTAGAAGAATGCTTCAAAAAGGCACCTATTTTGGAGATATTTTCGGGAGAGGCACATAATTTGTGTCATGTCAAGTGAAGGCATTTCACCAGAAAAAGGAAAACTTTGTTTAATGAAAGTTTTAGAAAAAAGATCAGCAAGATATAAAGAAAGATGATACTCAGATGAACAATGCCAGGTCCATTAACTGTTCGACTACAAGGAAAATTGCAGAATGCGCAAAGAGGTGACCCTGTATTAGGCCACATCCTAAGAGACAGAGACCCAAGAGGGGTCAATTACACTCCAAAGTGCTGTCAGGCTATGAATGCAAGGCACATAATCGCAGGGGGGGATCCTCCCGCCCATCATGGATGACTGGGATTCTCATTGCCCAGGCAACGGTAACCATGGCAGCCCCTGGCTGGGATCTAGATGACCCTGATTGCTGGCGTCATGCTCTCTCAGGGACTGTCAGCACAAGCCATTACCCACATGGGCCGCTGGCAGTGATGTTATGCATATTCATGACAAAAGGGGCAGGAAAAGAAAATGTATTTTTTTTTTTTTTACAATTGTGGAAAATGCTAGATGTGCACGATTCAAGGCTTGATAAAAAACAGACTTCTCAATTTGTAAACTTTTCCACTGACATGTACCTTAAAGTCAAACTGCTGTCACGTGAAGTACACCCAGTACATGATATACCCATTACGATTCATTCACAAGAACCACCAAAAAAAAAAAAACATTTGCTCGAAGCATCAGAGGACTCTTGGTTGGCAAATCCCCTAAACTCTTCCAAAATGCCATACATCACTGAATTCATTTTCTGCTTCTGTTCCCGACAGCATGCCAATTGGTAGCATTCAACACTTGACTGTTTTTTTCCAAGTGACCCAACCAGCTCAACCAATCAAATCAGCCAGTAAACTCAGAGGGCAAGACCCTTCTGCTTCAGGATGCGTTCCTCAGTAGCAGAACTGGAAGTGGAAGGGGCACGACACAGGAAGGACTGTACAGAGATGCCTACAGCTGATGTAAGAGTTAATCAAGGATACAACCGGCATACTATGCGAGATTTAAAAACAGTTTCTCTTTTCACAGTTTTAACTATGAAAAGAGAGGTTTTGCAGTTTTCAACCCTTTCTAAATCACAATATAACAAGGACAGATATTTTACTTGAAGAAACTGGTGGAAACTAAAAGTGAGTAATATATTTCCCTCGGTCACTTCTGACACTATTTGTGACAAATCGATCCATGATTATACCTTTTTCATAATGTACTCTGTACACAAAAGTGGTTTTCCGTGTGGCAACACTCTAATATACATCAAACCATAAAGAAACAAGCAAATTAAACTATAAACAAAGTTCAACTTACCTTGGGAGCAATGCCTTTGCGGACGTCATTGATTTGAGAAAGTTCCAATCCCTGGCCTTCCTGTAAAAAGAAGACACAAAGAGATATCCTTCAAGAAACTGCAACTTCTCCCGAGCACTTTTTCTGGCAGACATCAGCAGGCAGACCATTTTCCGCAGGCTAGAGATGATTTGCAAGCCAATGCATGAGGCTGAGGTGTGGCAATGGCCACACATGTCCAAAAAAACCTGGCTACAGCTAGATATAATCACATGTTGTTATGGAAACTGCGAACTATAGTGGCTCCATCTACTTCCCAAAGACGCATACAATTTTCAGCTATAACAAAGTTCAGATGTGGACTGAGGCTGCGCATGAGAACCAGGTACCCAAATTTCTGACGGTTGGGTTTCAGAAATGATTGCTAATTAGTGGACTGAATACTCGTATACGAAAAACATATTACATGTGCTTTGAAGCTTGTCAGATAAATCAAAAGGAATGCTTTAAAAGTTTTTAAGGAGAAACTTAAAAGCCAGGCAACAGGTAAACCGAATACTACACGTACATGAAAAAATTTGTTACACGTTCATGTCCAGGGGTAATTGGTACATGTATAAAGTACCAAGTATTTTGAGTAATTAAGAACTGGGTGTTTTGGATAGGACAAATTGGCATTTTGAATGAATTTTGCACGTATGCTATTTCATTTTTTTCCCAAGAAGTTTTTGGGGTTCAAAAGAGGACACCGGCACATCAACTTGGCTACCCAAGTTTAATTTCAGTAGGGTACCAAATTCACGAACTATACATAGATGCACACAAACAAAGGCTGGCATATACCGGTACTTGGCACAAAAGCGAACATGGCCGCAAAGTGGTGACATCACATCATATTATATATATAAAAAAAAAAAAAATACATCTTGATAATCACATCATATATTTATGCTGCATATTCACAAAAGTCACATTTCAACTGCAAGCAAATTTCGATGCAAATAGTTTATGATGTCAAGTTGACTTCATCTTGCATCTGCCTGAAGTATGTGCATGTGCATGTACCAGCCTTTAGTGTTACACTCTCTCTTGCTTTTCATTCAAGTCCTCCTTCTTCAACCATGGAGGTTCATCTTACCAGAAGCCCCATTCTTGCTCCTCTAAATCTTCCAGGACAGTAAATCTAACCTTTAAATTCAGTGATTTATCACAGTGTCTGACATCAGCACCATCTCTTCTGAGCATGAAAACATTCCAACAACATTTCTCTTTTCTGATTGATTAGAATCCGAGGGTGAATAAACAGTGACACCTGAATCCAAGCAAAGTATGCCGCATACTTCTGTGGAACTGATGTACACGTGTAGGGGGGGTATATATCTACCCACGATGCATTGGGTTTTGACTGGGTGGAGAGACTCCGCCTCATCCATCTGGAGCTGACAGGATTTATTTGGAGTTTCAATAATCAAAACGCATACTCCCGAGGTTACGGATGAAAGTATTTTATTACTAGTCCTACTGTGGCCAAGCTCATTAACCACCAAGGCTCAACACAGTCAGAGGAGAAGTGAGCTTGCACCATAAACTTGACATTCAACATCATGCTGTGTGGAAGACTTGTCATTTTGTCAAGACTACCATTACACTGTACATATACAGTGCATGTAGGTTCCTGTCCGCCCCAAGCTGAAATGCGTCCTCAACAGCGAAGAGACAGGCCTGTGAGAAGTTTTTCTGCTGGGCTTGTACATGCGCTAGGTGCATGCAGGACCAAATGTTCAAACGGAAATTGGTCAAGCCTGCTCAGGGCGTCCAGGGCTACACGTGCATGAACCTGGGATCCAGACAATAAAGAAATCAAATCTGGAATTCAGACACGCACAAAATCGGAACTGTGATGCAGGAGATGCGATGCAAGAAGCTCCAGGAATGGCCATATAAGAACCCAAATATTTATGACAGTCCACCACACTGTCCCACAAGTTCGACACCCATGTGTACCCCTGGAGGCCAATGCCATTCTCCCCCACCCACCCACGCAGCAAGTTATGAATGCACTTGACTTTATGACAGAATAATACTTTCTCTTGTTTATTTTTTGTTTGTTTGCTGTTTGTTGTTGCCATCCAAACAATTAAACATATTTGCACGTGTGTGCTGTTTGGTGAAACCTAACATTACCCATACATGTATGTCATACATGTAACACAAAGACAGTTGTTGGCAAAAACATTTCCCACACAAATGTGTTTACTGATTAACACTGACTGCAACCTTCCAGGATGCTTGAAAATACACTAGGAGGTTCAAAGGATTTGGTAGAATTGAGGAAGGTAAAGCCCAACCACAAGGGGACTCATACATGTACAGTGTAACTTCTTGAAAGCCCATACAGCTACATGTATGTAAATTATGTATATACACATGTACAAGGTTCCTATCCAATGGCAACTTTGCATATTTTATACAACTTGGGAAAATATTAGGCTTAAAAAAAGCACCAGATGGTATGGGTTTTCTGCAATTGGGTGCATAATTATTTGCATCTACATGTGACTGATAGTTGATAACCAGCATAGACGGCGACCTATCAATAATAACCATGATCACTAAAGTTCACGGTGATCTGAGGTATCGATATTGATGCAGACAAAGAGACACCAGTGGAAAGTTTCTCATCCCAATTAGAATCTGATTCCCCCCCACCTGCAACATTTTCGTCTGCAATGAACCAGTTTCACGATGAATACAAACTGAAATCAAAACACCTCGAGAGCTTGGCATCATGGGTCGAACTAAATGAAGTCTCCCTGGAACAAAGGTGCAGACCAAAACTGGGAACCTAGGAACAGTCTGATGCACAGATGGTCCAGCTCAGCTATAATACTCTGAAGGTCACAGACTCCAATCTCCATCATATTAATAATTTTCATTGCTGGCCCTGGGCAAGTGATGTTATACTGTATACATGCATATGTGCAGTGTACATATACCCTATATGTATTGAACAGTCAGACTGTTTTGCCAAGGCAATCTTTTCCAATATTTCTTTAACCTTTTGTTGTTAACAACAATTAATGCAATCAGATTCTATGTACACGTACTGAAATTGTACGCCATGGGTAATAGATAACCGGTGTGTGTATTTTGTAATAAAGTGTTATATATCCATGGAAATTTTTGATTTTTTAAACACACTTTTAAAAACACAAAACTTGTCAACACTAGTTTACTGACAAGCTTTAAGATTCAAGATTAATTTATTCAACCAATGATTAAAAGAAAAACAATTAAAAAAAATACAATGATGATAATATTTCAAATTGGAGTCCTTTTTTAATGATCCCAATACACGTATTGCTTTTTGCAGGTTGTGTAGGGATTTAAGTTGCGGTTGACTGACTGGCGCCCCCAAACAAACAAAGAAACAAATTGGGAGACCACAGACACAGGGATGGCCAGCTGAGGGACCAGAAAGTGCATGACACCACTGGTGAAGAATTTCACTGGCTACAAGTTCACACCCCACTGTTGCCACTTTGTTTCTGGTCAAGTACAAGATTCACAATTGCACTGCCCGTCCAGCCAACTGCTGGCAAATCACTGAAACAATGTCTACTTAAATAAGATTTCCTGACCAGCAGCGAACAGGCACTGCACAAGGTTGACCTTGTTTGTACTCTGACAAGTACATGTACACATATAAGAGCCTTAAGTCAATTTGATGTCCCATACTCGGAATAAAAATAGACCTCTCCCGAAATTAAAGTGAAAAAAACAAGGATGCAGCAAGGAGGCTTTTTTACGCTTTCCTCTTTTGCCGTCATGTGCCCGAATTAAGTGATTCAGAGACATGAAAGCTCACCTAGGCTGAGTGGCAATGCTCTGACCTCTGAGAAAAATCAATGAGCTATGAATCGCATTACGGGAACCGACCAGCCAGGCTACACTGGTGATAATCTGTCCGCTTAGGACTGAGGGAAGAACTCAATCAGTAAGGAGAAAAAATAGATTTCATCTTCCCGTGACTGGTCGACGAAACAGAGAAGGGCCCAAATTCAAAATCCAATTACAGTCCCTCATTATTTTTAAGTGTCCCTCCTTGATTTAGTTTAATATCTGGTTAATTCAATCAAGTACAGGGTACATGTAGGTGTGGGATGATTCACTGAGGTAGTGACAAAAGCCACGTTAGAATGTTGGAAAATGTGGCATCGAGGCATAAAATTGGCACTGAAATGCATGGCCATAAAAAGCCTGTGGAAGATGGGCAATTTTAGGCTCCAGATGTTGTGCCAGTAATCTGTGGATAACGTGTCTGGCTTTCAGGTGTAATCGTAGACAATGCAAGTCAAAAACAGCTGCCAACATTGGGGATCATAATAAAAGGATTTCATATAGCAAGTAGAGATGTTTTACTATGAACACAAAAGGCTGTGTTTCAATTGCCCCATAAATTTGAGTTCACTATGTACATGTACATGTACATAATGAACCCAGTATCAAGATATGTATTATGAAAAAGTAGCAGGGTTAACTTATTAATCTCTGTCCTATTAATTCCAACAAAACTGATTTGAAACTGAGTAGGAAATGAGATTTGTTGCGATACTGTGGGATATAATATCCGTTCCACTCTAATGTTCTATTCTGTTGGGTATAATAATGGAATTCAGAGAAGACATCAGAATCAGGTCGGGGTTTTAACATCAGGGAATGTGTTCCTTTACATTGTACACTGAACTTGCTGATAACTGCATGATGTGGTCATTGAATTGCATTCATATTCCAAAGGTGTATGCACATGGGTGAACATTTGAGAACCCACCACTGTTTTATATTCCAACAATATAACTGAATCTTCCTGTTTGTAACCACGGCACGGTTATCCTATCAAATGCTGAAAACCAATTTTGTTTGTTTATTTGTCGAATTCAATCACTTTGCAGATCTATCCAGTGGATGCCCAGCACAATAATTTATGAAGACGATACAGTGTAATTTCACAGAAAGGTCATACTAGACACACCCCCTCACAAATAACGTTTCGCAAACAGATAGCGGATTCTCTGATAGTT